CGTTGCTGAAGTGAAACCCTCCTTCTTACAAAGGCAGACATGGAGTACTGAATGACAGCTTCCCTTGATGGGGAACAGGAGGTGTCTGCTCTCAGCCCTCCTAACGCTGGGAGTCACGCTTCATCACCTGAAAATACCCCTCCAACCAGTGACAACAAGCCTGCCAGTGCAGCCTGCACTGCTAGAAAGTGCTAGGAAGGAATCAGAACACCACAGTATCTTTCAGCTGATTATAGTGACCATTCCACAACTCACCTTCAGGGCTCTGCCTTTCCCCCGTACTCAGAGCTAGTGATACCCATGATTACTGTGACTGCTCTGTTGGGGAGCATTGCGTGTAAAATGGGGAGAAAAGTAACTGCCATTAGCTGGTAGGAACCCCAACTTTTACATATCTCATGTTGCACTTCAATGATTTCTAAAGCTCCCAATACCAGCTCAGAAATGCCATGAAATGCTGACCCAGTATGAACTCACTCTGCCACTTCATATTCGCTCGGAACACCAACAGGCTTCACGCCGGATATGGGATCATCCATCTCCCCCCCACAGCTGGCAGAAAGGTGACACAGGAATCACAGAACTTGCAAAGGCCATCCTGTGTGCTCCAGGCTAATTCACCAGAAAGGCACCATGTTGAGCCCCCGCTCAATTCACATTAAATCTGTATAAGTATTTGGTAAGCGAACACAGCACCCTGCTACTGCCATCCTTGGAAACACCGGGGTGCAGGGAAAGCTTCCTCACCCAACTGTGTCTTAGGACTCCTGCTCTCTGCCATCTTATTACATGCCAACAAAGACAGTGCATGGAGGGATGAAGGAGAGTGCTTGATATGACAATTACAGGTTACATTTGAAAACTGTTTCCTTAAGCAGGGTCAGTCAGCCTGCTCATGCCCTAGCACTGAGGAGGAAAACCAGCTTATATAACACATATATAAGTAGTAAAGAAACTACTGTATGAAGCATGAAGGACAAAGGCAAAAACTTGTACAGGCTTTATTCTAAGGCAGCAAAACAACTTCTCCCTTTGTAGGGTTGAGGAAAGTCTCAAGCATAAGCAAATCTAAAACCCCATTTAAACAGTTGTCATGACTGTATTCCTACCTGAGGTCTGTTGATTTGTCTCCCATGATGCCTGAATAGTTCTGAAGCCAGTTTACCATCTATTGTCTGTGCCCGATGGGAGCTGTGATTTCTGATTAGACAATGTTCCTCTGTATTCCAGATCTCTGACCTTCATCTCTCTCCCTCACCATCACTTCTCCCTAAGCACTAATGGTGTCTCATGCAAGTACCACTACCAGCATGCCTTGGTGGGGAAGAAGAAAAGCAAGAACAGGTCACACCATAGCTTAAGACTACAACCAAAGGGAAATCTGGAAGTGTCTTTGTATTGCGATACCTCCACACTCTGGACATTACACAGGATTTAGTATTTCTAAACTAAATACAGTCCCTTGGTTCTTTTGTTCATAAAAAGTCCCTTTACAGAAACAAGCCAGACACGCCAAGCTCCAGCTCACTACGTATTTATTTTATTGCATCACAACTTCCTAAGAACAAGGTGTTAGAGAAGAAAGCAGGTGTTTGCATGTATGCTTTTAAGGTAGTCATTGAGTCCTGTCCCCTGCCACCTCCCCTGAGCCCATTGGGACTGTTGACTTTGTAAAGACAGAAGCATGAATTAGCCTTTGCAGAATCTCAGTTCTTATACCCTAAAAAAGTGAATTAATGCTCATTTTCCATTTCAAGCACAATTGGCTGGAGAAAGTGAGGCTAGGGAACACTGAAATACATATACACATATAAATGTGTAAAAATTATCCTGCCCTCTCCTGCCATGCTAGTTCAGCATGTCCAGGAGAGCTTGCAAGCAGCTCACCAAAGCACTGCTAGGATATCCACCCTCACTCAGACAGTCCTTTCAATGAGGTGCTCCAAGTCCCCCCATTCTCAGCACACAGGGACTTTGTTCTTGCTCTGGGCCAGAGGTTTGCATGTGATCAAACAGCCCAGGGTACCGGAAAGGTGGACAGTCTCCCAGAACAGTAAAATGCAGAATGGGATTCACAGTTGGGAAAAATCACAACCACATGCCATTCAGCAGCCCAGCTATAACCTTCCATCACTGAGAGCATTGTGTTACAGGATCCCAGTTCTTTGGCTCATGAAATCAGCTTACTCACAACAGCCCTGGGACCTTCCACTGCTGCCTTCACACAGTGGTCCCTCATTGCATGTTATGCCTTCAAATTCTACATGGGGCCTGAATTGTTAGACATGATGTTCAGCATGTGGTTGCTATCACATTAAGGCAAGACAAGGTGTTTCCCCCTCAAGGAAATGGAAACCCTTCCTCTGTACTCAACCACAGCATCACTGCTGACAGTATCTCTCCATGCAAGCCCTTGTTTGTTGTTAGGCTAAAACCAGACACTACGATTTTTGAAATGCTGATGCTCCCCAAGCAGCACTTAACATCACTGTGAAGCTTTAAAACGAGATCTAGAAAATTGCATTTGCTAGTATCTGCTGAAATGCAAACCCCATTGGAGCAGGATAGAGGATCCCTGAAGGCCAACTATGTTATCTTTGCCCATAGAAAACAATTAGAAAGCTGATTTTAAAATGCTACAATTAAAGGCTTAATATAAATGCGTTTCTGATGCTATCAACAAGCTCGAAGACTTCAAGAAGCTCCTTCAAAATACCAGTGCCTTCAAGCAAAATAGCTGTGTCTGTTTTTGCTTTGTGCTGAACAGACAATGGACAATTTACACACACTTTCTAATCTTAAAAACACTTCATCCATGCTATGCATTTTATGTGCTATGAATTCCATACACAGACTGTAAAAATCTACATAAAACCTCACACAGATTTACTGTTCTGCCTATAGATTCATGGCTGAAGATAAAGCATATAAAACCTGATGAGCAGGAGTTTGGTAAGATTTAATAGAAAGGTTTCCACCTGTATTTTAGATAATCAGATTACAGAGGGATTTCAAAATTAATTTCCCTTTCTTGGGCAGTTTTATGTTGTGTTTTGGGAATAATCACACAAATGGAACATTGCAAATGAAAATCCTGGGTTTACTGAGGTCACTGGGGCAACTCCTACTGATTTCAATTGGGCCAGGGCCTCACGTTATGGGGAAGTCTTGGGGAGAAAAATAAATCCAGACTTCTGGAAACAGAGCAGCATGCCAAAAGGCTTTTTAATTTTATTTTGAACACGGTCACAGTGCCATGTGAGAAAGCAGCTCCTTTCATTGCCCCCAGGAAATCAGCAGGTATTCCTGCTCCCACTGATTGCTTACATGCATGGTGGAATAGGCGGGCTTAAAAGCTACTGCTTTCCAGGGGCCAAATCCTGCTGGTGGGCTGAAGTCCCCATCTCACCCCTGTGCCAGGATCTTCCGTGGAATGCAGAGCTTGGGAGGTCCAAAAAGACCCCCCTGCTTACAGCAGTCCCAGTCAGATTCCTTAAGGAGGTACAGACTTGTCCTGGGCTGCAGGGTAAGCAGTTTTGCCTATCAGAGGCCAAGAAATTTTGGGTTCCTGCTCCCAAGAGCTGAGCACTTGCAAGGAGCCTGTTTCAGATGGGCCCTTGCCTTTGTGAGAGGCAGTGGCTGTCAGCTCCTGAGGATTTTCCAACTGCGTGGGACCAGAAAGCCCTTCTCCACCAAGCAGGATTTTACCTGTGAGACAACTAAGTTCAGCTCTTGAAGTCGTCTTCCTCCCAAACCCAGAAATACACTATCTCTTTTTCTTTCCACTCCAAACTCCATTTTTTTTCTGGTGTAAATACACACATGCTTCTCCGCATCACTGAACACAGTGCAAGAGACAGCTGTACCTAACATCAGTTTCCAGAGTAAGTGTCATAGAGCTTCTGTCAGATTTCAGCCAGAAATAAAGAATGTCCCTTAGGATGAGATTTGCCATCCTTTGTTAATCTTGTCCACTTAATTCTTACTTATTTACCAGAGGTAATAGGACCTTAAGCACCAACCGTCTCTAAGATATCTAGCTAGACTAACGCCATTGTGGTCCTTCCTGCACCAAATCACACCGATAGGTACCACACATTTATGAGCTGGTATAATTAGTACAGAACAGGGCATACACAGCTCCTGTCTGAAGCCAGCTCCAGCTAATGAGAAGCACTGGACACATAAGAGAATTTGGATCAAGAACATAGCAATGTGGTACCAAGTAATTCTAGAAGAACAACTTACCAAAAGTGACAAGTCTGATGCCTGTAAACATACTTTCATCAGAATCTTGGATGAAGTCTGAAGGTATTGTTTGTACTGGGAAAGACCTCCTCAATTAAATTTCCATGTTTCTATATCACACTGTGAAGTATTTCTTATCGTTAGCTAGTAATACCCAAAAGGTCCTGGAGCTGGACATCATGGAAGTGGGGCTTCAGCTTCACTGACCATGAAGCATATTTAAAATGAAGTTTGAAATGTCCTGGAATAAAATCATTAAGTAAGAGAATAGTCAGAATTTGGAATAATATTACATAATTAACTTTTCAGCACAGAACAGGCTCTTGGCACTAACCATGTCCTTTATTCTGATCCATCAGAGACTGAAAACCATGGCCTTTCCTGTGCCAACTGTCTTCTGGAATAAACATGAGACCCTCCCCCTTCATCTTCACATACTTAATAATATTAATAGAACATTGAAATATTAATGCTCATAGACAAGGTCTTTCATAAAGCACATAAATGAATTCATTCACTCTGGCTCATTAGCTTAATCGCCAACCTTTTTACAATGTAACTGATTAACATTTTCATTGTTCTTCCTTGTTTTTTCCTTAGACTTCTACTTCTTTGGGGATCAAAAGATCTCTGAATACACAAGCTCAACAAATATCTGTGCACAACTGTACAACAATAGAAATCGGATGAAAGGGATAATGAAGCAAAGGCTTTCACAATTCATGCTTCAAAGATACTGCAGGAAACAACAGTTTAAGAACCATTTTTATTTGTATGTTTAATGCAATTATACACATTCATGAGTCCAACAAGATCTGCACTGTGACATTAAAGATACAGTACAATAACATTCAACATGAGGTACTTCATATTTATATATATCTGTCCTTTATAAATAATGCTGTAAGCCTGCTATGGTCAAACACTGCTCCAGCACAAATGGGCATTGGGACCTGAAGTTAGCTGAGTTTATCACAAAAAACCCCAACAAAAACAAAACCCCCAAACATTTCAGTGCAATAAGTATGTAGAAATCAAAATGTTTACTTAAATACTATTTTAGATAGGCAGAAAGTATATTACATTATACTCTCTTATCACAGATTCCCCTCACCAGGAAAATCAAGCATACAAGTAGCAAAGATGGCCAGGAACAGTTTAAGACAGAATCTATGAAAGGATCTCTATTGACATGATGTTTACATTCCAGGTTGATACAGCTGATGCTTTCAAAACGTCAATCAACATATTCAAGCTTAGATGCTGATGCTAAACCAACCAAATCCACATTTAGACACCTACTTGAGTGCCCTCATGTGCCAAGGCAACTGGTGCTAGCACCTTCTTAAATACCAGTACTTGTTAGCATCAAGCAGTGCTTAGAATCAAGTCACGCTGTAAACATCGATAGGTGTTTTGGGGGCTTACATTTATTCACCCATATTGAAAAACTTTACATGCCCCAGCTCCTAAAACCTGGAATGGATTCAGAGGAATCGTTTTCATCCTACTTCGTCAAAAAGATTTCAGAAAAGTAGCAGGTAAAATAATAATTAAGTAACAGCTCACTTTCTACATATTACAGCTACACAGGATTCTGATCTCCCAACTTCTGCTGCAGCCAGTGAATGCAGTGGATACCTCACCTTTATTTGCAGAGAAGTAAAAACCAAAAGATAACTTAAAAGTGAGCACCCAAGCCTAGTTCTAGAATGCATTACTCGCCAATTCATCTCACCAGCTGAGGCACCTGATTTTTTTCCAAACAATTCAGAATGCAGCTTGCTACTGCAAGCAACTTGTCAATCTGATCATCACTCAGAGTAATTACATCTACATCAACTGCTCGCTGCAAGAAAACTTAATCAGTTGATTAGCATCTTTTTCTGCTTTCAAATGTATTTAAATAAATGGAACTGCTGCTCAGAGGTTGTCTAAAAGCAGATGACCATTACCTCATCACAATCTTAAATTCCTTTTAGCAGTTTCTCCAGCAACTTTTCCTGCAGTCCATACAGTTTATACTCTTTGTCTATTTTAGGCTGCGGATCTAAATATAATTAACTGGAGGTTTTTTAAATCTCTCTCTCTGGGAATTTTTCATGGAGCATTCTGTTTAGATCTCACTAACAGTCTGGATTATGTACATCTGTTACAAAAAAAAACAAAACATTTTTCTATATATTTTGAGGGTATTTACATTTCAGAAAGAATGTCACTTATACACACACGTGTGTTATGCATGTATATAAAACATTAAACACTAACATGGGTGAAAAGCATAGATCTTGCAGGGAAGTTTTTTACCTGGCTCTCCTTTTATTACCTAGAGAGAAGATCTGGGCTTTGGCCATAAAGTGTTTGATGCCTATGCTCCAGTTTTCCTTACTTCAGATGGCATTTTGGACACTGCAAAGATGTACTGGCACTTTACAATGGCCAGGGGCCAGGATTCCAACTGTCAAGAAACACTCAGAGTAATAGTATTAAAATGGTAAGAAATCATATGAAAAAAACATTTTTATTACAAAACTGGCAAGTGAATTTAAGGTTATGCTACATTAATGCGTTGATATACTGTTACATTAATCTGCAGTCTGACTAAAGAATCATTTGGTCCTCTCATTTCATTAAAACGTATGTAACAAACAGAACCCACTTCAGAAGTGAAATAAGAATGAGATGCTTTACAACAGGTAATGTGCCTCTCTCTGAGAGGCAACTGTCCCAATACAATGGTGAAAGAATTTATGTTTCTACAGTACCTATACTTCTTGTTTATACTGGTTTCCTTCCCTGATAAAAGGAGTCATGATCCCTAATACTTTACTAAAAACGATACAGACGTATAACAGGAAACTTGGGAAAAATAAAAGAATATAGGAAAAGGTTCTGTACCACATAATCCTCTGATTGACGTGTAACCATAAGCAGTTGCAAGAGATCCAACATTAACACATTAGAGAAGACTTCCTCCTCCTCACTTCTATCTGATGATACATTAAGTGTAATATGACCACAGTTGGGAATCTTTTGTCTTTGTTTAAATTTCCACTCATAATGTATAGTAAGAAAAAGAAGCAATCTCATATTACAGAAAAAAGTCCAAGTCAGGATTGCTGCATTCTTTTGCTCCTCTATAATCCGTCTCTACCATGTTTAGGAGGAAGAAAAATAACCCACCCAAAACAAACAAAAAATCACCCTGCATCAGAGGATAGCTATTAATTCTCGTTTACTTAGCAAGGGTTCAAAGAAAAGCCATTTAAATAGCAAATCAACTTAAATGTAGTAAAAACTAGGTCATGGGAGTAGGATTTCAAGAGCTGCATACACAATTCGAACATGTGCAAGTACTTCCTTGCCTGTGAGGTGAGATTCCTAGAAAATGAACTTTCAGGGATTTTGCCAAGCCCACATCCCCACCGCACTGTAAAAACGCCTGTGCACTGTGGAGTCAACATACTGCATAGCTTCCTGAAGGTTGTTTGCTTCTCTCCATCTTCCCCTGCAGCCATCCCAAACAGCTGGCCACAGGAGAGTCTCACAAGATGAAGGTTTAAACCTGTGATTTTTCTGCTTACAACTGAAGCACTTCTTTCAGCTCCCATGATCAAAAGCAGCTCAGTTTATTGAAAAGCAGACAGAAGAGTGAACTATAAAACAAGGCTCTTAATCTTCTACCCCAACTTCCCCAAATAATTACAAGCAGAAAATGGAGAAGGAGAAAATGGATCAATGAAGACAATGTTTAGTGAGATACAAGAGGACATCCTCTGGTGATTCACAGGTGCATCAAAGAAAGGGTCAGCATCACCAGCAAACAAGCACCCCTTTTACAAAGCCTATAAAACTTGCTTAAGAGCTTCCAGTTTTAATATTACACTTAAACTTTATCACCAACAATGGTAGAAGTATAGCAAGCCAGTAACTTGCCCACAGCGTTTAGTTATGTATTACCTGTACTGACCACGTATCTGCAGATAAAAAGCTAAGCATCAGTAGGCCTGAACCAGACAGACTCTTCATAGCAAAATGCTTTTTGCTTTCATTCAAGCATAAAATATGAGTTCGGGAATTTGCCCTCCCTGTACCCCAGTGCCATTTGTACTGTCCGAAGAACACTGAAACTGAACAGTCACCTTCCCACACTGAACTTCTGTCATTCCTTCTTGTCCAAAATAGCTGAGTTCATTGCCATCCAGAATCACGCTGGCTGTGTAAAAGGTGTCAGGCTCAATCTGCACTGGATATTCAAACCACACGGGAAAAGTGTTACTAGAACCGTCTGAGAAGTATTTACTCAAGTTTTGGCCTAGGATAACTCCTTGTCGTTTGAGTTCAATCTTGGCACTGTACTCTGCCGATCCACAGCTGGACCCGTACAGCCCAAAGCCAGCAATAAACACTCTCTTATCAACAGCAAACTGGATGCTGTCACACCGGCCCCGGTAGCGCCACTGGTTGCTGCGGTAAGCGCAGGACTGGAAACGGTGGCATCGTTGGGGAACGAGGCCTTTCCGGGGCTTGCTCACAAACTGCAGCTCTGGCTTCTTAGCAGCCGTGTACCAGAGGAAGATATCATTGGTTTCGTTGAGAGTCAGAATCCCAGACTGAGCAGCACCGTTGGCAAAGTCATCGAGTGCCATGGTGGGGATGCGTATCAAGTACAGAGCCTTCCCGAGGACTTTGCGCTTGTTCTCTATGGTAGCTGTTAGCTCTTGTCTCTGACACTCCACTTCAGCCCAGTTTAGAGCTGCTTCGAAAACAACAATTTCTTTGGCATTCAGAGTCTCCCTTCGGAGAATGCTTTCAAGTGTCTGAAAATCAATGTCACAGAAACCCTCAGACTTCAAAGCTAGCTCGGCTTGGGCATCAATCACTTCCCAACAGCGCTGGGTCAGGTCAGGTTCCTCGAATAAGCAGCTCTGGGAAAGCAGCACACAGGCATTCTTTGCACTTAGACTTGTCTCTAGAAAGTTGACGCAGGCGCGGGCAAGATGAGGGACGATATACTTCTTGGCAGCATAAAGAGTGGCCAGTACGGTATCTGCAGCCAAATCAATTTCATCGCAATATATGTATCTGAAATAAAACACATGGGTGTAACAATGCTGCTTAATGCAAACACGTAATTTGTCAACAACATCTGAAAATTTGGAACAAAGAATATTTAACTGGCTCCACACGAAAACTAAGCAGTGCTTTTGGAAAATATTGATTAAATCAACAGAGAAAGTACAAACCAAATTCATCACTCATGTTAGGACCAGTAAGACCATGGAAAAAAACAGGCTTAAATCTACAGTGAATAACACTTCACATTTGGGGTACATGCTATGTATGGTAATGTTTACAAACTGTGGCCCGTCCAGCTCTTCATTCCTTCCATGCATGCTTTGGCTAATGAGAGGCTGCCTGCCCCAGGCAGTAGCTCCTCAAGGGCTACCTCACTTGCCTAACACAACAGTCTGTAACACCTGCTACAAAGGGTACTTGAATGGGTGTCATGTGATGGTGAATGGAAACTTATTGAGGTGTATAGATAAATACATAAATGAAAACAAGTTTGCTGGGAATAATTAGGTAGTCTAAGCAAAGAAATGCCATCAAAGTATATTAGGTGCTATCTATTTTGCATAACTACTGGGTTGGGGCTTTTTAGGATAGGGTAGGGTAGGGTTTACACAGGGTGATGAAGCATACAGGAAAAGGAAAAGGCACAGAATTATAATTTTAGGTTTCTTAATGCTTGCAGCATCCTAGCTCCACTAGCACAGTGGAGCTGGAGTCTGAGAGCACTCAGTCTAGAAACCAAGTGCTCTCAATCTCATTGCATAAGGAGGAAAAAAGCTTTACTGCTCTGCTACTGCGGTGGAAGAGATGAAGGTGGAATTCTATTTATGTGACTAAACTGCTGGGGTTCCTGCTCAGAGAAATGAAGCATTGTGCAGTTTGTTCTTTTTAATAGCTCATGCTCCAGGGCCCCTCTGCAGCTGGTGAATGCAATGTGCTAAAACCATGCCAAATACAATTTTCCTCTTCATAGGGATAAGCAAGTCTTGATGGTTATGGTTGATAAAGTGACTTCCTCCAGTAAAGCTGCAGTTGTATGCAACCCTGTAGTAATTATATTTTTCTAGATAGCAGGTTTCCCAACACAATGAATTTTGTGCAGAACAGATGAGCTTATAAAGTGGAATTAGTACCCACACTGTTCACAAACCATGTAAACAACACCCTTAGTGACATGGTTTAGTGGCGGCCTTGCCAGCGTGGGGGAACGGTTGGACTTGATTATCTTAAAGGTCTGTTACAACCTGGTTGATTCTATTATTCTGGTTGTAAATATCTTTGTATTTTTGCAGGTGTAGGGTACTATTCTCCGAGCCACAGTTAGCAATAATTCTTGAGCAGGTACTGCTCAAGCAATAGAATAACATCTAAGAGGTTTCAGAGAAAAAGAAAAACTTGCACAGACCCAAACCTTCTTTTTTTTCCTTTATTACTTCATTTCAGCTGGGCTATTGTAATAACAAAGAGTACATCTATATATCACTGGTTACAGGCTTAGTTCCTTAGTCCAAAAAAATTTCAATGTAACAATTCATTCGTTTTTATGATTCTCCTCACTGTTCTCCAGCTCTTTTCTCCTCTCTATTGCATCTCTTTGCCTGCTAATACAGTGGAGAATGATGACATCTGTTTTAAACTGAAACAGTACAAAAGTAGCTAGTTTAATATTCATGAAAGCAAAGAACTAATATCACTGATTTACAACAGACACAGCACAGATTGGCTGTCAGCACTACCCCACACTTCTCACTCTGCCAGTGCACCTCCACTCTGGTCTGCAACTACTGATATCCCAGTTTCACCCCGTTCTTAAAGGGGAGTCTGCCAGACCACAGGGTTTGATGGTTTAGTAACACATTCATCCTCAGATGAGACCATGGTTCTAACCTGAACGGTCAAGATTAGGATAAAATACAATAAAGACAGGAATTCAGTCTGTCAACTAGACTATGTCTTTAACCCTATTTTTAAAACTGGAGAGAACAGCCAAAGCAATTTTACTGGGAGAATACGAAGTATCTACCAGTTACTTATGTTAAACATGGCAATACCTCATCTGGTATTTGTTGGCAGCCTGCCCGCTATATAGAACAAGTCAAAAAGCATTTACGTTAAGAACTTACTGTCCAGGGAAACTAAGCAAAAAAGCTTCAAAACCAAACCCCCAAAACCAAAGTCAAAGTGTTTTCTGACAAAGATTATGATGCATCCCTCCTGACTGAGGAAAGAAGCACATGAAGGACAGGGCTGCTTTGGGATAGGTACAAAGTCTCTTCCTTCTGTATAGCAGGAGCATCAGGAGCCTTCTGTCATCCACTGCTCACAGCAGTTGCAAGCAACACTCATGGGGCTGAGAAGTTAAGGAGACCATGGCTCCCCCCAAAATGCAGCACATGCACTGGCTCCTGTGATGAGAGGAATGCTGCACTGCTGAGCAACATCCCTTTCCCTTCCCTGCACCATCCCTGGCATTTGCAGACAGGGGAGCACTCTGCAGGTTCAGGCACACTGCATCAGTGGAAGTTAGCACTGGCAAGGTCAACTCAACATCCACACAGACTTTTTGCGTTTTTCCTTAAACTGGGTTGTTGGTTTCTTGTTTTTTTTTAATAAAAGCTGAGAAGATGAAAACTTCCATGGTTCCAGCCACGCTCTCAAAGAGTTTCCTAAATTGCCATGGGCTAAGTAACATGTCAAGACCTAGATGTCAGTACTGATACTCAATTTTCTAGATTTCCTCTCTGAACACATTTTTTAATGATAAATTCAGAAAGCATTCACGTTTTCTATGGCAAATCATGTTTAGCTACAGTGAACTAGATTTGCTGTTCAAAAAGAAAGGGGGGTCAGGGGAATCTAAGTATCTTAGATTTATGCCTTTGTAAAATTCTGCATGAAAGTAAAGCTCAAGTCTGAGTTCTGCAGAAAACACCTGCAAAACCAGAAAGGCCCAAAGCAAGGATCCATAATGCAGATACCTACATAATGTCACATCTAACTTCATATTCCAGGTCTATAGAACACCTGTGTGACTTCAGCTTTTCATGGCAGTTACTGACATTTGCACAGCACATTTCTGATGCTCATGTATAAAAACTCCGCACAACAAACTCTTCATACAACTTTGAGCATTCATCTATAGTGCCACTGAAATGTAAACGAAAAAAAGGAAACCATTCTGTAATCACAAGCTAGTCAAAACAATCTATGAAATACATAAAATTGCTAGACAGTGATTATACCTTTACCTGCAAGAAAATCTGCAGCATATTAAAAGGATCATTATTAGATACTAATGTATATTCGTTATCAGAAAGCAATGGCAGTTGCTAAAGCTGAAGGCAAAAAACCCTCAAAGCCACAGCATTTCTGTGATGGGGCATTTCACTTTAATAATTAATTTATAGATAAATTCAAAGACAATTCAGCAGGAGAGCTGCTTCATTATGCTCATTGAGGAAAATCATGGCATTTCTTATCTTTGCAAGAAGAAAAATAATGATCATGTAAACTGACTGTTCTTCTTCCATTAGAATAAAAACCCTACTCATATAAACAGCCTTTTTATCATTTTCCAAATGCATTAATATGATAGATGAGGAGAAATTTAATTTGCAGAGGCTATATTCAATAACTTAAGGTCATTTTTCTAAGACAAGACCTGAACATAGCAAGTTTATATTAGAGCTGGAACAACATCAATAGACAAACCCAGCAATTCTAGGTTTGAAGAGCGGTTTTTGGTGTGTTTTTAACTTCTCCCTATGCTTGCAAAGTAGAACAGGGTTTTTTTTTGTTACAGCTGCCAATTCTTTTTAGTAATTCCATTCCTTTGTGTAACGTGTGTAGTGACAAATCAGATCAATAGGCATTACAGTATACAATGTGCCCAAAGATCCCCTGTCAAAGTCATTATTTATAACTGCCTACATTAGTCTAATATATGCGTGCCTGGAAGTAGAGGGGGAGAGCAAAATGAGGTAAAAGTTTAAAACACTTCAAACACAAAAAGAGGAATCTTTTACACAACAGTTTCCTTTTTGTTTACATGCAAGTCTAATAGTTTAGCTATGATATTACCAGTGAATGTATACATCAGAAAGGAAAACACATCCAGGAGATGGATGATGCTTACTTCAGCATTGCGAGAAAAGCAGCAGGCTCAACATCTGGTATACGGATTTCATCTTTGTCCTCAGCAAGCTCTCCGTAAAACATTGCGTGGAATACAGAGCTCCCAACAGCCAGGACGTACTGTTGAGAAAGGGAAATCTTATTTCATGCTTTAAACTGAAAGCACTGCCAACAAAAACAATGTGGGAGAGCCACACTGAGCATACTGGGCTTCACTGACAGACTCTATAGACACACTTCAGTAAGTAATGAAGTCAAAGTTACGAACAGAATTACACGTTTTCCCTGCATTAGCTACTGGAAAACCATCATATCCACCACAGAAGTTAACTATTTCTAGAAAATCTCAGGAGTAATACAAATCAACAGCATAAAGCAGCACACCTAACTTTACAATGACAGCATTAGCCCAACAAGTGTACTGTTTAACTGAAAACACAAAGAAAAGCAAGGGATAGACTATTCCATTGCATGTAGCCTCTTAAAATACAGAATTAGGGCTGAGCCAGACTTCCATGCTATGTCCTGGTGTAACCGTGGGAGCTCTCCCTCGCTATCCCTGCCCAAGCTGATACTGCAGCTGTTGCTTACTTTGTGTCCTGGCAGCCGCTGGGTCCCACCTGGTGGCCCGACCACAAAATGAACATCTGCCATCAAGTCATTGTTGAACATCACTGCATTTCTACAAACAGAGGTAGCGTGTTAATTCAGGGCATCCAGTAACTTCGTGCTTTCCCCAGACCCATGACATTGAATTTCTTAACAACTTAAAGTTGCATGTCAGTAAAGACAAGCAGGTCACGCTTTGTTTTAAGCTCCTTTCCACATCATCACACAAATATACTAGAGAAAAAACTAAGAGGGGGCTGCAGAATGTGTGTTGTATGTTTGTGCAATAAAAAAAAACGCCCAAAGAACCCAAACTTATGAGAACTTTTCAAAGTCAGGAGCACGTATCACTGAAAATCCCTACAAAGGTCTAAAAGCAAATCTGCTGCAGCTTCCAGCAGCATTTTATTTACTCAAGATAAACAGCTGCACTGTCTGGAAAAGAGATACTAAGATATTTTCCATTACCAAAATGCTTGTTTCACACACACAGGAAAAGAAAGAGAATCTATGTTTTCTTCAGCAAATAAAGGAATAACTAAATATTTGCACTACAAACATTTTGCTACTTTTTCACCATTTAAACAGTAAAAATCAACTGCCTTGCACTTACCTCTCTCTGATGGTTGGATAAAGTCCTTGCCAATTAGGTGCTGGAATAGTGTTGTTGTTATTGAGATTTTGCTGGTGGTACTGCTGGACAGCAGTTGTATTAGTGTTGGCTGGTTTCTTTCGGGGGAAAATATCAGCAGCCATCTTCTTCTTCTTTTTGGTCTTCAAAGTAATGATTTCATAGCAAACTGGAGGCAATTTGCTGCTGCTACTGCTGCTGCTATTTCCCTTCTTAGAGCTCTTCTTGGACCTGTTCTTGACCGTCTCTGGAAGCATCAAGAAGAAGGTGAGACATTTCATGTTCTTTCCTTTCTCATCTACCATGAGTATACTTGTCTGTAAAGCTAGACAGCCTAACTAGCTAAGAACATTAAGAAATGCACACAGAAGCTGTTAAACAGAGAGCAGCAGAGCTGAGAGTTTACTTCTTTTCCGGCAAGACAAGGTGACCTTTTCAGCGCACCGAGCAAGAAACTGGCTTTAAGTTTGATCCAGTACTTGAATTGTTAAATACATCCCCATCATTCCAGCCAGTTTTATTTCTCTCTAGATCTCCTGATCAGGAAAGAGCTACAGCCTGTGAAGAGGGTTCGTGCGTGGCTGCAGCATCGGCTTTCTGAAGGGGGCTAAGCCAGACGTGCACAACAGCACTGCTAGTCTGCTCGGCAAGCTGAACTTGTGCCTTGAACTGCTCAGAGCAGAGTAGGTATTGCAGCCCTGCAGATGGAGTCAGGCAGCATTCGGTGGGAGCCAATAGCTGAAGTCACCGATAAGGATTGGAGCCAGCCGCACAGTGACACCTATTGTAACGTACGCCACTCTGACATTAAAGCGACAGCAATTGCACTCCTCGTTTCATACGCAGCGCTGAGTAATAAAGTAATAAATGGCACACGCAGTTGCGTAAGTGCATGACTGGCCAGAAGCGGGTGCGTTTTAGCTCTCCTTGATGCTGCTTGGATTTTCACGGGGGAAGCAATAAAAAGTTGAACTCGGGTAGAAAGACGTATTTGAGTCTAAATATTTCCGTGGGAGCTATTTCCACATGCAGTCAGTGTTAGCGTGACTTCATTTGTTTCCAGTATTCCCACAAAACCCTACTATTAACAGTTGTTCAGCAAAAGCGTGCTATAGATATCAGAACCAAATTAAAGCAATCAACTAGCAGCAGTAAAGACAGCGAGGCAGTTAAACAATCCCTTTCAGCACAGCTTCTAGTCTAGTGTAACATGAATAGAGATGAGGTCACAGCTTTAGCTTTAACTCCTTATGTTTCTAGATAACGCAATCGCCGTTGACAGGGGTCCCAAATCACTAAGCAGTGCTAATTAAACCAGCTTGCACCAGTCATGGCTGCACCACATCAGAAGAAAACTTCGAGATGTGCAATCAGATTAAAGCAAACGTGGGTGAATATACTTAATCAATATTTCAAAGCATTAAATGAAGAAGTCGGAATGATTTAGTCTCAGGCAGAAAACACTCCTTGCCTTGCAAACATACTCTGATTTTATTCACACATTCTGAAATAAACAGGATATAAGGTATGCCAACCAAACCCATGTAAATAGGAAAGAAATAGGAAAGAAGATTAATTTTCAATCATCAGTTTGCTCAGAACTTAAATTTAGATCAGATTTCCTTAATAGTAGGTCAAGTGTATAAAACACCCACGCAAGCACAGCAGAGGAATAAAAATATTAGGTATTTGGTGTCAGTATTTCACACCTTAAAATATCAGAGGCAGATAATTCAAATACAAATACGTAATTATCTTCAAGTCTTTAAGAAAAAAAATCCTCATTGCTTTTAAAGCAAATTTAACCACTTTTAACCATAATTACTTTTGCTGGACAAGAGCACAATAGTGAAATTAAAGTGATCAAAGGTTGGTGGAGAAACAGTTGATCTTGCTGAAATCCCTGACATCTGAAATCTGCCCCCACATTCAACAGGAGCACAGAAATGTCACTGGGGCTATTTACTGAAACACCATCACAATGGCTTGAATAAGCAATTGCTTTGGCTTTGTAATGCAGTCTCAGAATCTCTTTAGCTTTAAATGAACTGTGCAGGTATTTCAAAGATTATCAGGTCTCCTTGGGAGCCACTCTGTATTTAAGCACTAACATAACCCCCTGGCAGTTGGCCATCTAGAGACTTTGCTGCAGTGGTTTGAGATGACACCATTCCCAGACACACACCTGCCCTCTCTGCCTGAAGTCTCTGCTTATGGAAGGGAGAAACAGAAGGATACGCATCCATGCCTCAGCTGCTACATTTCACAACCCAACATCTTAGTGCAGAATCGCCTTCACTAGTAATTTAATAGGAAATGGTGGGTGTTGCTGAAAGGCAGACACATTCCTAAACACATTGAGAGGCAGGTTATGTAATCTTCAAAGAATTAATTTCTAACAAGCTTTTCTCCCCTCACACATCCCTTTTTTCTTCTTTATCTGCAACAGATTGATTTGGAAGGAAAACTAACAATCTCAGCCACATTGAACTGTAGAGAGGTAAAGGAAGGGGGTCAAGATTAAAAAACTCATCCCACAGATGGGATGTTTATAAGTGCTTGTAACTGAGAATTTAGAACAGGAACACAGCAGGTATTCTTTGCACAAAATCTGAGCTTGTTGAGTTTACATGAGCGTTTTTCCTCTCCTTATGTAAATTTCTCAGCCCTTCTAGTTGCAAAAATAACCCTTTTGCCACTGCACAGGACAGACATGTCAAAAGGAAGAAGTTGTAAAAAAAAACCCTTAAAGATACAAAAATCCATGCACTCTTCAGAAAATCTGATTCTCAGCATTGCAGCTGGCAAAAGGTGAAAGATAACAGGGGTTAGGGGATTCATACGAGAGACTGGGTTTTCATTCCATAAATCCATTTCATAGACTACCAAAGAACATAAAAATCAAGGTCCTTGAACACTTTTTCAAATCATTTGACCAGTACAAAACCAAAGATGATACACACAGCACAAAAAGATCACTGGGAGGCTACAGAAGAGAATGACAGAGACTGACTGGTCAGCTCAGGCTGGGAAAGAGATGGTAATGAACCTGTGGGAGTCCACCATTCTTTTGACTTCTGTAAAACACAATGCATGTATAGAATGTTGTGCTCTCCTGGAAAAGGAAGGAGGGAGAAACTGCAGCTGAAGCATGTTCTGCCTAAATCTAGATGTCAGACAGACCCCCCAGTAGACAAGAAGTATCTGTGTGACAGGATAAAAACCCACCGCAGTAAACAAAAAGCCTGACTGCCAACTCTGCCTGTTCTTACACCACCCACCAAAACCTGTGGTCTGTTATAACCAGAAAATAGCGTCAATTCCACAACGTATTCTGAAAGTTCCTTTGGAAAACTACAAACCTGTTACAGGCTTTATACCACCATCTTCCACTGCACTTTATCAGCTCAGAAACCAGGTCTCCTAAACCAATCTTTAGATGTGTGAAATGGGAGAAAACCCCAAAGAAACAGTGCTGGTTGCACTTACTATTCTTCCCGTTTTGGCAGCAACTTCCATTAATTTTCTTACAACACTATTTCCTTCTTTTACTCTACAAACATTGTTAATGAATTTACAGATCAATGTTAGCAGTCAGTAAAAGCAAACTATGAGCTACTCCCTGGTGAAAGACTAGGAAAAATCCCAAGTTCAAATGAGTTTATCTCAGGCAAGAAGACCAAGGAAATTGACCTTCTCTCACCCAATATCCATTTCTGAAAGGTTATTACAAAGTGTTTCTTATCTTCTTCAGCAATTCTCATTTTTCTTCATTAATTATATATTAACGGAACCAAACTTGATATACACAACTTAGAAAAACGGAAAGAGGTCTTCAAAGGAACATTAATCTTTATTTCATATGCAATGTAGTCAAACCAGAAACATTTTAACTCAGAAGGCGTAGGAAATTCCATGCTTCAATCTTAACACTGGCCTAATGAAAATCCAAAACGACAGAGGTGAAGAATTAAGCAAAGTGCCACAGACTGAGGCCAAGATACTACATATTAAGTTACATGCCCCTTTCAAATTATCAGGAGCAAGTTATAAGCCTTTGGAAACTAGCTCTTGATTAAACACTGGGAACAACCAAAGCACAATTTTTGCTGTTCAAATCCAAATATGCGCAATATACCTGTGATCCCAGTTTCATTTAATCTTTAAGACCGTAACATATCTTGACACCATTGTGAGGGTTGGTATAGGAGTAGTATTACAGCACAATTCTTGGTACAACTTTTAGCAGTACAGTACTACTATAATTACACCTCTCTAAAGGCAAGTTCAAATCTAGAGATCATTTAATTTCCAGGTTGATGGGAGCACTCTTCCTCATTCTACATCAGTCTTGCCTGCTGCAATAGCAAGTATACCCAAGTTTTCATTCGATTTTTTTTCCCTTCTAGTAAGTTGTGGTTTTCTCTCTCTCTCTCATTTACAGGTCAGTTCTTCATGTGGAAATGTGAACTGGACAATTCTATAGGCAACAAGTTTTCATCAAAATTCCCAATTGTCTGTTATAACCAGATCATGAATAAAGGAGTAAATTCCATGTAGGCAATGAGAAAATGCATATATTTCTTTTCTGTAAAGTTGCCAAGTCTCTCCCTTGGCAGTTATTACGCCTATGCATTATTAAAATTCTTTGTTTAAACTCTGAATTTACCCTTACAAGGAAGCAAATTTCAGATGATACGACTTGATTAACCAAAATAAACATGCCATGTTACTGTTTAACAAACGTACCTGTCCACTGCTAATTTTCATTGAATTTGATGTTAAACAGTCCTTTAAAAATGGAAAGCACAAGTTCAAAAACAAATAAACAAGCAAACCCCTCAACAAAACCAACCCACACAGCTGAGAAGCTCCGGTCTGTTTACCTATCTATGAATTATTCAGTCACTTGGAAGAATCCTCAATCACCATTCCAACCCTGCTGTTTATCAAAACACTCATTTGGAAAGGGGACTGATAGATCTACTCTTGATTTTAACAAGTAAAAAATCCATTACAGTTGACAAAATCTTCCAGCCTGATTGACAGCACTGAAAGTAACTTAAGAATGCATCCACTTCTGGCTATTGCATGGGAAAGCTGGCCCTGAAGTCTTACTTGGTAATGTCTTCTATAGGGGAAACAAAAACCAACCAAAAAAACAAAAGCAAACAGCAACAAAAACCAACCAACCAACCATCAAAAAAAAATGAGACAACTTAAAGCAGGGAGAAAGTGGGGCAAAATCGTAAGCTTTGACAAGCCAGAATATAGGATAAAAACCCCAAATATTTATTTTCTGTATGAGCCAAAAGCAGAGAATCAGAGTAGAACTGCATCTTGAACCGACACTAGAGACTTTAAGCTGAAGTTCAACTTGGCTGAATTGAGTATTTCTATACTAGCAACATACGTGTTGGCAAATATTGTTAACTGCTTAGTTTTTAAGCTATGAGGATTTAAACACTTTGCACTATATTACCCACTAAGATAATTTTTACATTTTTTTCCTAAATGTCCTTAATGCTTTAAAGAAAACTAAAGCAGAAAGCCCTAAATAGCCCAAGTCAACAGGTAAATACAAACGTATATGATAGAAGCTTAATGAACGAGTGTTCAGATGTCTTTTACTCTTTCATTCTTGTATTATTCTCTGTCTCTGCATGGCACTTTTTTCAGTCTCCCTACCAAAGCAGCTTTAATCTTTCTAATATGTCCTTTTTGAATCTGGTCATTTTCACTTGTTTTTTTGTTTTTTTTTTTACAGCAATATCCTTTTTGAGACAAAGCAACCAAAACAAAACATTACATTTAAGGGTAACATTTAGCCCTATGTTTACTTGCAAATAAACATCCACTTCACTTTTGTGTGGATTTCAGTTGGCTCTACACAAACCTGTTCCTACACCAAGTGCAACAACTCCTACTGTTATTTTTTCCCCAGTGAGTTTCATAACTGTCTATTTATGCCCCAAACACAATGTACCACAAACGACTCCTCTACACTGTTGAGTTCTGCTACTGAAGTTAAAGGTTTTGTTCCCAGTTGGGTCAAAATAAATATAGCTAATGTACTAAAGTGAGGAATAAAATAAATATTAAAAATTATCTTGTATTTTCATTATTATTTCCATACCATGCTTGCTGCAGAAATGGTAGTCCATATAAACCACAACCATGTAATGAAAGGCTTATGTTTTAACAGCCTACGGTGAATGTGTTCGATCCCACTACAGTGAATTATCACACAAATGTTCCTTTCTGTGTGTATGGCAAGAAATAATGTGAAATGCTTCATTACAACATGAAATATATGATTTTATCAGCCTGTTGAGACATATTCTCCAGTCTCATAGTTTGGGAACCGCAGGTAGAAAATATCCCAGAGCAGAATCTGCTATTTATTCTATAAGCATAAATTCGCTTCTTGATAGTTCAAAGTAAAACCAAGAATTATGAACTTACTCTGAGATGAGA